TTTCTTGGACGAGTTCGTAGCTTGGTGCGGCGAATGACAAAACTCACTGATGATGCCGACTATGACGCTGGCGAAACGTTTGAGAATGTACCAAGTCCACTGTCTGATGCTGGGAATCATGACAACTAAGATGGCAGACGACTTCGGACTAGGTGCGTTCTACATAGTCTTCCCGACCATAGGACCAAGTTGAGACAACGAGGTCAACCCACTTCTAGAATTTTAGCTACTTGCGTAGTTTTCCTTGTCAACTTCCGACTGCATGATGCGGCGTCAAGCTTTGATTGGGTGACGCGAAATAAAGTCAGGATTAGTCACACATTAACGTGATCTCTGCGCCAAAGGATGTTGAGCCATCGATACGTATAGGATGTAACAAAAACTAAGCATTGAATGGGAAAAGTGTGGGGATAGATCACAACACAACTAATTGCAATAGGGAATTTTTTTTAAAGGCTGACCTTGAACTAAATACTTAATGCAGCTTACGTTCGCCACCACCAAGTGTATAAAGCTCTGAACGTCCCCATTAAGTCTTCTTTTAATAACGAAAATTTGGTTAGGGGATTCTCGCATACTAAGTGAAATATGCCCACGTGGTTCTTGGTTTTGGTAAGTTTCGAAACGACTACCTCAAGTCATGTAAGGCGACTGATCGCTGAATTTTCCCACAATCAGACGAGTAGGCCTCACGTTGCCAGTAATATTTATTCAGCCCTGCCTCCCAAAAGGTATTCTCATCCAGTGGGGATTGTAGTTCGAAGTATTTTGGGCTGCGTTGATGCAACATATAACTTCGACATGTTATCATCAGGCCACGCTGCCACGAATTCCAGGGGGTCAAAATGAAGACGTGAATTGCAAAGCTAGCAAGGCTTCTGCCATACCACTTTTTATTGCGGAATTATCGAGGCAGCTAACTTGTATTTGTATCACAATTAATTACATTAATATATTCAAACTAAGTAGGTTTCAAAATTACCAGCAAATCTCTTCTTTACTAAAGATGTGTACTTCAGTGACAAAGCTAGTTTATTTGACCTTACGGAAATTTCTTAGCCCAGCATTTATAGAGCTATGTGTTATATGGGCTTAATTTTTCTCATGCAAGGAGCAACAAGTGTCTCGTATCTCGAATGTGTCTATTGAGGTAAGGTTTTAGGGTCTTCTATCATTACTACCTAATATGAATTTATATTGTTGTGCTGAGTAATACAATTTTGAAATGCATTTAACATTGTTTAAATAAAAATTCAAAGATATTTCGAAATGATTCAGGCATCTTGGATACAAGAATACTTCTTGATAGGTTTACTCCGAGAATCATTGGGTAAGTGCATATTTTCTTATGAGGGCTTAATCCTTCTAATCCTGGCCTTTTTCTGACCAGAAACCCTACTGGAGATCACATGAACTCATTTTAGAGGCCGGGTTCGCATGTTTTGATCCACACGGCTTTCAAAATGCAGCTTTTTTAGTTTAAAACTATCTATTATATTATCGGTTTCAGTGTCCTTATTTTCATTCGAATTGTGTTTTTATCTTTGTTTTTTAATCATTTTTCCAATAAACCTTTTGGGATCGATGACTTGCTTTGTATTAATTTCCTTCCCATCAGCAAAATTTCCACTAAATGATTCACTTAACTATTTGTGGTTGTAGACCTGATCTAATTTTGACTTTATTTTTCACTTCCTTTAGCGTCTTCTTGTTCCAACCAAAAGGGCTCGACTGGCTGAGAAACGTGCTCGCCACCGCCAACTTTATGATCAGCTAATGACATCCGCATCTGGAGGGGACACTGCCACTGCTTTCCATGATACTCTAGTAAAACAACAGTCCGTCCAAGAGGAGATAAACGCAAGTGTGCGCCGGCGCCTCCTGCAAGAAGCTGGAGTTAAGCTGGACACCATGCAGGAGATTTCTGAAACACAATCTGGCTCTAATCCTGCCACGGATATTGAGGGTCTTCCGCCTGGAACTTATGTCAAACTGATTTTTGCCAGTATGTCTTGGATTATTTGTGGAATTGTTCGAGGTTTCTGTCAAGTGCGTATGTTGACTTGATAAAAGCTCAGGAGCCTTTTGAGAGTTTGACCAGTTCTTGTAAATTATGGACTGTGTAAAAAACTGAAAAGGTGGAAGGTTAACAACAGATTAACAGTGCTGGTTTGTTGACAATGCTATCGGCTCAACATTTACACATTTTAACTGTGCGCGAAATGATCTAGTCCAATTTGGAATAAAGAAATTAGATTAATTTTAAAGTAAACCAAAACTGAAACAAGAGCGATAGTATTACAATCTGGTGAATCGGGCCAGAGTAAATCCATCTGAATACTAACCTGTTGTAGAGGGCTGTTCTTATGCCAAGCTAGTTTTCCTCAAATCGGCATGAAATGTCTCTGTCAGATCTCCATCAATTATGGTAACTAATATGATCGATTTAGCCTTGATATCATAATAATAAGATTCTAAATTTCATTAATTTACTTGGTTAAATGGTGTAATTCTTGCTAGAAATGGTTGAAAAGGTAATGTAGGCGAGCTTGAAAGTTCCATATGAATTAGTTTTGCAATCACATTTGAATGTATTTTCCTCGTCCATAATTCTGGTTATTAAGCTTCCATTCAGTTTCCTTAAAAGATCTGTCTGTTAATTTGTATTTTTCAGCGATAGGGAAACACAGAGCACTTGTGCATACTTATATTTGAAGGTTATAAGGACAATTTTCTATATGTAAGACAGCTGGGTCTAGCTGCAAACTGGGAGTTATTTTAATAGAAGGTATGAAGACCAAGATGGTCTGGCCTTTTGTATCGTCGCTGTCTCTTTTCGTTGTATAGAAGTTGTTTGATCTTGTTTTCGCAACTTGGTAATATTTGCGGGAAGACCTAGAGTAACGCACCTTTTCTGGAGTACATAATCTGCATGATCATTTCCAGAATCAGACCGTAGACTTAGTATATTCCCAAACGTTTCGCCGGCATCGTTTTCGACATCATCAGTGAGTCTTGCCAGTCTCAGCAACCGAACTACAACTCGTCAAAGAGACAAGTGGAGTTAATCCCTTGACTAACTTTTTGTCGAGACGGTCATGCTATCACTCCTGATGGGATTTATTTTGCTCCTAGGACATCGTTATATAATATCAATTTGCTATTACACCTTATAAATGTAAGGAGCCTGGATTTTCTTTGTGCTTACTATAAGAACCGCTGATTGTTTCATATTTAATCATATGCTGTATGTTTAAAAGGAAATCATCATGTTATGTGCAAGCCATCGTATCACGAACACATTTCTCACCACATTTATATATAAACGGCTAGGATTCTCATACTTTTGTTTAAAGGAATTTTTGCTACTCACTGATCCAGGCGATTTTGCAATGTCCATGCAGCTATGCTCGTAGCTACGTCTGATCTGGAAACTCAGTATATGAAAAGGGATGAGACAGGCGAGGTCCAAACTTTAGTCCACCATGAATGAGAATATCTCTTGAGATGCAAGGCTGTAGGAAATTCTTTGAAAACGTAAGATGTATTCTTTTCGTAGTAAGAGCCGTAACTATCAGATTACGCAAGTCAACACCACCAATAGGAGGAAAGGGTAATGACGGAATCAGATTTGTATTGACAGGCTCTTCAATATCGTTTGCTTCATCGGCACTCCCACCAAAAAAAAATATGATATAGCAGAGGCCTGGCCTTCCTTGAAATTCACTTATGTCCTGTGACTAAAGGGTCCTCGTGGCAGTGTAGCCGAGTGGTTAGCGTGTCAAGCTACCGTCCTGCGCTGTCCCGGTTCGAATCCCGCTGAGGGTGTTGATAAGATT